CCCAGGAGTTTGAGGCTACAGTGAGCTATGATTAGGCCACTGCATTCCAGCTTGGACAACAGAGTGAGATCCTGTCTCTAGAAAAATTAAAAATTAAAAAAATGAATAAAAGTACAACCATATACAGTAAATACTCTTTAGTTGAATCTGGAAACTTCTATATCTATGGCACATATCTGGCACACAGTAGTATCACCTGGCACATGGTACTATCTTCATAAACTGGAGAAAGATAAAATTGTGGAAAATATGCCATTTGCTCCTTATCTTTAAAACTTATTTTGTTTTATTCTATGCATCTACTTGTGCAGGAAATTTCCCATCTGATATTTGTAATTTCAAAGTTTGTCACTAATGGAGCAATAAAATATTTTAAAAATGAAAGGGAAAAAAAATTGCTGAAGGAAGCACAGCAGATACCAGCCCAGAAAGGCCGTTCTCCGTCGGGTGCCCGCATGGCCAAGCCTGCGCCAGGCCCAGGGCTGAGGGGTCAGTAAGTGGCCGAGGACTGTGTCAGTGAGAAGTTGTGAGAAGGAATGCAAATCTGATCTCTTTTATATTAACACTTCTTCTGAGGGGTTAAATGTGCACAAAAAAAAATCAGTGCTTGTAATTTCTTGTCATTTTCCATCTAGATGGGAGGTTGTCAGCATTTGAAGTACCCTGAATATCTTGGCACCAACATCACCCATTGAAACAACTCTGCCCCCACAGCAAGGAGTTTTCCGTCATGACTTTTCTGCTTCCCCTGAGAATTTTCTTCTAACTACAAATTACAAAATCACATTCCAAACTGGGCATGGGGGAAGAGCGGCTCTATGGTAAAATGGGAGGTTTATGTCATTGAGATCCATCATCCAGTTACAGGTCCTCCAATAGGACAATGCGGGGCCCCTGGTCTTCCGTCCTGTGTTATCAGTGCTGAAAGTGAAACTGGACATCATGGGACATGACTTTAGGTCAAGCAGGAAGTCATTTTTCCTCTGTGTGCTTCTTCTCAAAGTGTACAGAGGGCCAGGAAAACAACCTATAGCAAATGTCCTCACACGAGACATTCACACCTGGTCAGAACTGCCTCGCAGAAGCCAAACGACCTACTACAGCAGATCTCCATGCGGTCAGGGGGCCAGTACCCACAGGCCAAATAGATGCCAGCAGAGAGAAGTGAAAACTGGTTCAAACCAGTGTTAACATTCTCTGAAACTAGATGGCACTTAAGCCCAAATATAGTCTTCTTTACTTAATTTATTCAGTTAAACTTTTCTTGTTTAATGGCACTAGTAGAGACTCATTTATAAGCCTGGACTGAGTATAGCAACGAGTGTGCACTAGGAAAAAACAGCTCCCTCTCACTCACCTGTTCTCCTTCTGTGGATGAACAGGAACCACCAGACTGGAATAGACCTTGACGTTTCATAGCCCAAGCCCTCTTGACTTTCCAGGGAGAAAAATCATCCGCCCCCTTAAGCTTCCACCCTCCCATCCACTCTATCCTGACAGACTCCTGTGTCCAGTCTGCTCTCTCTCCTAGCGGCTGTTCTCCTTAACTCTATTAAGATGGTTCTCGTCCCTCTTGCTTGGTCCTTTGCTGGTTGGAAAAAAAGATTGCCTATGACACTGGCCTGAAAGATATTTTTAAGGACCATTTCAGTAACGGGATGTTTCCCTTGAGGGAACGACAATTGAAATCGCGGAGGAAGCAACTTTTAAGAGAACAGTTAGGCTAATTCTTTGAGCTTTGGATTAAGCTGTCCTGCAAATTAACTAGATAAACAATCCTGTCCCTTCTTTTATTTTTTCCTGGTGTCCACCTGTGTGCCAAAGGAGACAACAAATAAAGAACCCACTGCATAAATGAAGTAGCATATTACCTTGGAACTCCTTATCTGCCCTGCATTCATTCACTCAACAAATATTTACTGAGTTCTCACTATGTGCCAGACATTTTCCCAGGAACTTGGGATATATCCATGAATAAAACAAAGATCCTTGCCCTTACAGAGCTCACATTTTCATGGAACGAAATGAGCAATAAATGATAACCTTGATAAATAAATCAGCTGAATGCTGTAGTAGAAGGTAATAAGTATTATGGGAAAATAGAAGAGGATCAGAAGGTCAGGGTTGGGCGGGGACGTAGGCTATAATTTTAAATGGCGGGAGAGGTCAGAGGTAGCTCTTGAGAAACTGCCTGTGAGTAAAGACTTGGGGCGAGGGAATGGGTCAAATTGATTCTAGAGGGACTGGGGAGGTTCCGGGCAGGGTGAACGGGTGGGAGAGGCCTTTGCCTTTTCTTCTGAGTGGGGTGGGAGACCTGGCACTTTGCCCAGAGGACTGACATGATCTGACTTATGTTTTGCCATGATCGCTCCAGCTTCCACGAAGAGAATAGACCTCAAGAAAGCAGTTCTCTTAATATTCAATAGTGCCAGATTTCTGCCTGATGTATAAAATGGATATTAAAAAACGCCTAACTATCACAGCTTGCTATGAGAGTCAAAGTAAATGTTTATAGAACACACTATGAGCATTATGAACTGATTTGTATACATTCTAGTTATTGTTACTATTATTACAAGAATATTAATTACTAGTAATATATTCAACTAAAACAAAAGCTAGCTTAGTTGTTTTCTAGATGTGGATTTAAATATAAAATGAGTATCAAAAATAAAAACCAGGAAGATGAACACAAGTCCACCATTGCTAACAGAAAGGCAGCTCAAAATTGACAGTGAGTTAATAACTCTTGCATATAAAAATAACAATGCAAAAAATTTATAATAGGTAGCATTTCAATCATTCCTATAGGCCGTTCCTGTATCAAGGGCTTTGCAGTCATTGTTTCACTGAATCCTCACAAATGTTTTCTGAAGCAGACACTGTTGTTATCCCTATTTTATATAAATAAGAGTAACTTGCCCAGGAACACACAACAGTAAAGTGGCATCAGTCTACATGCAAAGCTAGACCACTAACCCATAATGTGTTATGCCATTAAGCACCATGCAGCAAAAGCTCTTTGCGGTTCTGCTCTTTATTCTGGCATTAGATTTTGCCCATGACAAAGTGCTTCTTTAAAAAAAAAAAACA